GAATTACAGTCTCAGAAAGTCACACAGGTAGTTCTATCCTGTCCACAGGGTCCCAGTGAGCCGGCATCAACATGGTGGCAATAAGTTTCATTTGTTTTTGAGTTCACAATAATACTTTTTTTAAATCATTAAAATGCATACCACATGATTTTATACAGAAGCTAAAACTGAATCATAAATTTATCCTAAATTTCCCAATAGTCAAAGCTAAAAGGAAACATTAATTTTAAAAAAATCCCAGCAGTCATGAGATTCAAGATATACACACCACCACCACCACCACCACCACCACCACCACCACCTCAGTAGAAGAACCTTTCTTCCCCGAGCACTGAGGCCTGAGATCCTCATGGTATCTGTGTGAGTGAATGGCCAACACTCTTATCACACTTCTACAATGATTGAAATAGCTGATTTTTACAACATTGCTCAATGTGATCAATTGGCATCATCTCAAATCATGACCTACTGAAAGAAGCAAAACTAAGAGTAAAAGTAATGTGTCCTAGGTTCATATGTGTCTGACGGTTTGTTCCAAGAATAAAATGCAGATAAAACAGAAGAAAGCAAGGGCTGCCTATCCATCAGAAAGTATTGCATTAATGTTATTTCTTAAATGCAGGCCTTAATTTTTCTTTTTAATTGTTAATCATCCATAGCATTTGAAATGTTAAAGTCCTACAACAACTGCATAGATAAGTACTCTTTCCTATCCTCTAGGCACTCTGTGTGAAGAAAAGGGGGCAGTCTACTTTTATAAGGGTTATAACCTCAGAAATACTAGGGAGCAATTCCATCCTGCCCTGTAGGGTTGTTATGAGTCTGAATCAACTCAACGTCAATGGATTCCTGGTCTCCTTGGGTTGCTGCTTCTCATTAACATAATCTTACTGCCCCCTAAATTTCCTATCTAACCTTTTTTGAATGGCTTTTGTTTCTTTGACCTCATATAACGTACTCACTGCTTTTTGATCTTGATACAACTTAAGGAGACAATTTTGGTTTAAAATTTAAAGCTTATAGCAGAAAAAATAGTCTCAGAAGTTCATCTAGTTTCTATGGCTCTAGAAATTCTGGGTTCCCTTACAACTTAAAATTCTGTTTTGAATTTCCCCCCTTTTGATCAGGATTCTGCAAAGATTTTTTTTTTTACTCACTTTATTGGGGGCTCTTATAACATTCCATACATCAATTGTATCAAGCATATTTGTACATATGTTGCCATCATCCTTTACTTTCTATTTGAACCCTTGAAATAAGCTCCTCTTTCCCCCCTCCCTGTACCCTTCCCACTCTTGTGACCCCTTGATAAATCATAAATTATTGTTGTTTTCATATCTCACACTGACTGCTGTCTCCCTTCACCCTCCTTCCTGTTGTTCATCCCCCTGGTTGGCGTGGGGGGTGTGCATGTAGTGCATCAGTCACTGCAATCAGTTCCCCCTTTCCTCTCCTCGCCCCACCTTCCTCCTACCCTCCCATTTCTGTTCCTGAGGGGTTTATCTGACCTGGATTCTGTGTGTCGAGAGCTCTATCTCTACCAGTGTACATGCTCCAGTCTAGCCAGGACTGAAAGGCAGGACTGGGGTTATGATAGTGGGAAGCCTCAAAGAACCAGAGGAATATTGTGTCTTTCATCAGTGCTATACTACAACCTGGTTGACGCATCCCTTCCTTGTGACCCTTCTGTGAGGGGATGTCCTATTGTCTACCAATGGGTTTTGGATCTCTGCTCCGACCCTCCTCGTTCTCAACAATATGTTGTTGTTGTTGTTTGGGGCCTTCTGGTGCCTGTTACCTGATTCTGTGGACACCTCATAATGTGCACGAGCTAGTGTGATTCTACCATGTGGGCTTGCTGTATGGGGTCTAGTCCTTCGCTCTCTCTTTATCCTTCTTGGTTTGCTTCTGTATGGGTGTGGCAAACCAGCCCCTCTCCCTAACCTGTAGGTTTAGTGTTGTCCTCTGCAACACACACTTCTGGGGGGTGGGGGTGGGAGGGGGTCAGTTTCTGCCATAGATATTTTTATCAAAATATTCAGTAAAGGCAGCCAGACACTACCCAGCTCTTTGGTCTCATGGTAATAAGAGCAATTGTTATGGAGGCAATCAGCCATGTCTTCCTCCTAGTCTTGACTCTCCTTCTTCCTCTGCTGCTGTTGGCAAGTAGAGAATAAGCACCTTAGAGGGCCACTTGCAAGCTTTTAACACCACAGGCTCTTTTAAGACCCCAGCAGCAAAGTAGGCACTAGAGCAGAAACACTAAACACAATATTGGGGCAATTACATGGGTTATTTCATGAAGCCATGACCCTAAACTTCTAAATTCGGGACCCATATTCTGTGAGTTGTTTGAGTGTACAGACATGCAGCACATGTCTCTTTTGTTGTTGCAACTATATCACACAACTCTTGCCAGGTTCAGCTTGTTGTAGGTGTATAAGCAAGGCACCCACAGCAATCACAGTGATCTGCTGGGTAACCCTACCCTTCATCAATGCACGTTCTTCCATCACAACAAACTGGAATTCAGGGTATTTTATTAACTCTCTTTTGCCTGTCTAGGGCAGCGATGCACTAATTAGAGAGTGGGGGGCAGTATCAACTTGGGACAATGGAGAAAACAGCCGCATGCAAGGGGTAACTAAGGAGAAAGACAAGAGTCTGAATCCTTGCTGAGAGGAATGAGTAGTTGCTCATAGTTGGTAATTGGCCTAAGACTGTAGTTAAGTGAGCTCTGGTAGTGGAGAGGTTATGAGTTGGGCTATGAACCACAAGGTCTGAAGTTAAAAACCACCAGCCACTCCTCAGGAGAAGGATGGGAATTTCTACTCCTGTAAAGAGTTAATAGTCTAGGAAACTGACAGGGGCAGTTTTACCGTTTTATTAGGGTCTCGATGAGTCAGAATCAACTGGATAGCAGTACGTTCTATCTCCTCCTTTGCTGCTTAAAAGTGTCTGGGGTCTGAAAAGTTTTCAAGTGCCCTTCTAAGGTACAGAAATCAATCTCTACTTGCCTAAAGCAACAGAGGAAGAAGGAGAGTCAGGAGGAAGAAATGGAATGTGGGGTTAACTGCCTTCAGAATTCTTCAGGCAAATACATCTAGCTGCTTAGTTGGGTAGAAGCCCTGGTGACCTAGTGGGTTAGGTATTGGATTGGTAACTGCAACATCACTAGTTCAAAACCAATGGCCACTCTGTGGGGAAAAGATGAGGCTTTCTACTCCTATGAAAAGTTAGGGTCTCTTCTAATGATTGCACAACTATGTTTATTTAATATGCTTAAAGCACTGAATTGTATGATATGTGAATTATATTTTAATGAAACTTCATTTTTTTAGTTACATTCTCAAAAGCCCATAGGAGCAGTTCCACTCTCTCCTATCGCGTCGCGCTGAGTCACGATGGATGTGATGGTAGTGGGTTTTATTTAGTGAGGCTATCTCTATCTGCAGACAAAGCTTTCCTAATACACTATGCTATCCCAACTTCTGACTAGAAGAGCAAAAGAAAAGCATGGCCCCGATTTCAAGACAGCGTAATCACTCCGGCACTCAAGACTGAGTGTCTACCATACATATGCAGTCTGCCATATGTAGACCGTTAGCTCAGCTGCTGACCAAAAAGTAAAGGGTTCAAGTCGAATTGGAGGCATTTCAGAAGAGAGGCTTACTGACTTCCTTGTGAGAATTAACCCTTCAAAGCCCCGTGGAGTATAGTTTTACTTTTATAGACATGGACCACCATGATTTGGATGACTTAAAAAAAATAATAATCATATCCAAGGCACCTAAGAGGCACTACATTCAAGAGCCTTCTCAATCCCAGCCCAATCCCAAGTCAATCCCAATGATAAGGATCCTTGTGGGAAGCTAGCATACTGCCCTTTTATGTTATAGTCTGGAGAGGATTCACAGGGAATTCCTTATGAATTCTTGCCAGTAATTAGTAATTAATGTTAGCAGGGAATTCTTACTAACATATTCTTGCTAATGTTAAGGTGGAATAAGGGGTCCTACTGTGGAATTTCAAGACACTATTAGCAGTGGATCCAAATGTGTCCACTCACTCCATTGATTTCTAGGCCTTTTTTTAATACTAAGATACACCTACTGACTGACCGCTGCAACATCAGAATGAACTGACGGCTCTTTCTCACACGGCCACAGCACATATTTCTCCCCATGAATGTCAATGCCTGAGGTCACAGACAATTGTGGTATAATAAAAGAAGCACTAATTTAGTCAAAAGATCCCAGTTTTTGAGGCTTGGCTTACCTACTTTCTCTTTTATCCTATCACCTAGACTTATCTCTCAACTTCCTTGAATTCAGTTTCATAATTTCTAATTACTGAGATCAACACAATAATGATTATGAAAGAGTTCCAACAACGAGAAAGCACGACAGCAGTAAGATTTCACCTGATAACCCAGCGTGGGCAAGGTAAAAGCAAACAGGCTGAAGTGAGCAGAGTATATGAGTAACACGAGGAAAGGTCATTCATTATCTTTGTAGCATTGACTTTGGCTGTTCTCTTCTGAGAGAGTAAAACTTCATAAATAAGTGATCTTTAGCTGACAAAGTATTGTAGTAGAGAGCCTACAGAACGCACTCCAAAGAAACAAAAGCCTAGGTATAACTTAATCCATTTATTACTGAGAAATAACTTATCAGTCACAGTGGAATGTGACCCTCTTGTCATGTGCTACAGGACACTGGCCTTCAACATCCTCTCAGTTCTGTGTAAGGCCTGCATTCCCAATAACCTCAGAGTTCCCTGGAGCCTCACCTGAGGGAAACCTCTTATTGCCTGGTGCATGATAAAAACTTACAGGAATTAAAATACATGCCGCTGCATGCATTATTTCACCCACCTTTGTTTCCTACTAGGCACAGACGGCCATTTACTTTTAAACGAGCAGAATTAAGTCAGAGTTCTCTAAGAGCTAATTAAAATATTGCCTGGGAGGTGTTCCAAGCTGGTTCCACACAGCATACCTTGTCGCGGGTTTGGCACCGGAAACAGTCGCATTCAAAGCAGTACTGGTCCCTCAGCTGCTTCTGGCGCTCCTCACTGGTCATCAGCATGTCCAGGTAGCAGATGGTGAGCTGCGCAGGCCCAGAGGGAAGAGGTCATATGGCTGTTGTGCTCATTTTCCTTAATTAACAGTTAGTATGATTTCTAATCAGTCCAGTAATACCTGTTTATTGTTTATACCAAAAGGTATAGGAGAGAAGATACCATTTATAATCTTCACCCCTCAAACAAAGATAATCACCACTATTTTTAAAATAAAAGGTCACCGTGTTTTCAATTTACACCGCAAATTAGGTTCACACTTGACAACTTCTACGTAAAGTGTTCACTTCCAGTAGCTCCGTTCTCTACAATGTGTTAACGTTCTCCTCAGTGGCATTCTAGTTGCTCCATTTCCAGAACTGGAGTTTCCTGCATGCGCCCCCCACCCCCACCCCTGCCAATATCTTCTCATTTTTGCTTTAGAGTAATTGTAGATTTTTTTTTGGTGGGGGTATAGTTTTCATGGGTAATATCCTTTATTTTGTGTGCCAATCTATTGTAGCCCTGATCAGAATGGTCAGTAGTGGGAGCCAAGAACCATATAATTCTGGTCTCAGGGCACATTTTGCTGAGTTCTCTAAGTTATTAGCCTTGTAGACTAATTTCTTCTCTGATAGGTTAGTTTTCTTCCTTCTCTTTTGCTTCTGAGACCAGTATTTGTATCTTAAGGTGGCTGTTTGCAAGCATTTAAGAATCCAGGCTCTGCTTGCCTCACTGAGATGCAGAAATGAACCTTGAGAGGCCAGCTGAGTTGGCCCAGGAGAATAAAGTACTATATCTTCAAACCCAGAAAACTATTCTCCTAAGTTATGTCTCACGAGTATGTGCAAATGTGTCTTCCATGAAGATGTGTGCACACATATCTATCTGTATATACCTGATCACCTGCACGGGTGAAAAATGTCATGTCTTTCTTTCAATTCCTTGTTATGTGGCATTATTCATGTATTATATGTGTATTCTAAAGAAGTGGGCTCATGATCACTATAACTTTTATACCTTATCCCTTGTCTACTAAGCAGTATATTAAGAGCCACAGTAGATTCAGTACTTCTACCAAACAAACAAACAAAAAAACCCCTCACTGCCATTGACTTGATTCTGATTCATTATGACTTTATATGACAAGGTAGAAAAAGCCTCATTTTCTCCCCACTGAATGGCTGGTGCTTTCAAACTCATCACCTTTCAGTTAGCAGCCCGCTTGGTAACCCACTATGCCACCAGTGCTCCTTAGTACTTCTGTGACCACTGGCCAATAGGGAGGCCAAATGAACCCTGGCAATCAAAGAGGTAGCAGACAATGCAGCTAAATTGCCCTTCCAGCCTCATACATTCTATAGTTGCTTTATGGACTGGAACGGCACCCGAAACTGGTACCTTGGAAATCAGGAAACAGTTCTCTCATTGTGGCGAGGTTAAGAACTACGGAAACATTTCCAAATAGGGAGAATTTAATGTCAGGCTGGGATCACTGGCCGTGGCTCTCAGACTGCCCTGCCTCGGGGAGTGAGAGGTCCCGGGGAAGGCAAGAGGACAGACTTGGGAGACTCCAGTTTCTTTCTACCCCTACAAGTCTCCTTACAGCCCCAGTTCACCAGGAAGCACCATCCTTCTCAGGCATGTCTCCCTTGATGAAACCTCCTATGTACTGAGAGTCTAATCCAACGTGTATGAAACTGAACTCCTGATTCCCCTCAAAGCGGCATCTCAGGTGCAGCCTTCTCTACCTCCGCTGTGGGGGACGTGGCCGGTTATTCCGCTTGAGAACTCTTCAGTCATCCTGGGCTTTTCCCTTCCTTTCCCAGCCTCCATCCAATCTACCAGCAACTTCTCTTGGTTCTTGCTTAAAAATGTATCTGTAGCAATGATGAAAAATACAACTTTCCTCTAGTTCCTAAATGCTTCCTCCCACCCCCCCACTATCATGATCCCAATTCTACCTTGCAAGTCTGGCTAGACCAGAGGATGTGCACTGGTACAGATGGGAACAGGGAATCCAGGGCAGATGAACCCTTCAGGACCAGTGGTGTGAGTGGTGATACTGGGAGTGTAGAGGGAGAGTGGGTTGGAAAGAGAAAACCGATGACAAGGATCTACATGTGACCTCCTCCCTGGGGGATGGACAACAGAAAAGTGGGTGAAGGGAGACATCAGACTGGGCAAGATATGACAAAATAATACTTTATAAATTATCAAAGGTTCATGAGGCAGGGGGGAGGGGGAAGGGAAGGGAAAAAATAAGGAGCTGATGCTGGGGGCTTAGGTGGAGAGCAAATGTTTTGAGAATGATGAGGGCAATGAATGTACAAATGTGCTTTATACAATTGATGTATGTATGGATTGTGATAAGAGTCGTATGAGCCCCTAATAAAACGATGAAAAAAAATGTATCTGTAACCAACCACTTTTGAAACCTCTTTTAATGCTACCCACCTCTCCCAAGCCACATCATCTGGCTGTTTCCTTTGCACATTCTCACTTCATGGTGCACCCCCCACCCCCACAGCCCCCTGGGTTACTTCCTCCGACTGTCCTCTCAGCCCCCTCCTCCAATCCACTATGGTGACCTCCCTCAGCTTCCTTGAATGTTGTGCAACCTTCTCTTCCTGACCTGGCCACCCTATTTTAAATAGCAGCTGGATTCCCACCCCACCCTGCCACTCCTTACTTCCTCACTGGCTCTGTTTGTTCTTTGGCTGTCACCTACAGACATCAGCTCGTAACCTATTTTGTAACTTACTTATTTGATTTTACCTAGAAAGTCATTACGGGGGCACTGTGGTCGGGAAAGAGGGGGGGTGTTACCAAGAAGGAAGGTGGAAGAATTATCTACGGAAGGAGCTGACAAAAACTCTCTAGCGTAAAACACACCATCATAAAACATTCCGTGTGGGCTTTCTTTAACTTAACAGATGGCAGCGGCTCCTGTCTGCAAGCCTGACCTTGCTTGTTTGGAAAGGGTAGTAGGGTGAAAGCAGGCCCTCGTCTGACAGAACATGCACCCTTGGGAGGGCCTCCTGAAAGTCAGGGAGGAAGGAGACCAGCCGGCTCTGTCAAATCAACCCTGGCAGTCACCAGATGACAAAAGCCACAACCTGCACTGGCTGGCTGTCTCTAGATCCACCAGGTGTTAGGTACCTACCACACGGTAGTCCCCCTGCAGAAACAAGAGGGCCTGTCCTTAAGAAATGAAAATACCAAACCCAAATCCACTGTTTTGACCCACAGGGATCCTATATTAGATTTTTGAGGGTGTAGATCTTGACTGGAACAGACAGCCTCCCCTTTCTCTCATGGACCAGTTGGTGGGTTTGAACCTCCAACCTTGCCGTTAGCTTCTCAGCATTTACCCAGCACTGCCACTAGAGCTCCTTACCAGAATATAGTGTGTATGCTAGTGAAGCCACATGAACATCAGCAAAGGTCTTGGATGCAGACCCAGCTTGGATTTGCACCCATGTCCCTAGATTCAAGTCTAGGGCTTTTTCCCCCAAACATCACAGCTACTTCTTATACTTCTGGGGCCGTGGGAGAGGCTACATTTGTAAGAGCTGATGCATCACACCTGCACTACTGAAGCCCGTATCCAGATTTCTGTTACTGCTGTAACAACGAGGCTCCTTTGGTGGAAACCACAACCACTTTTCAGTTCTTCAGCACTTCCTTTTCCCTCTGAGGTGACGTTTTAATTCTCCAGAATTCTTTTCCCTCTGAGTTGCAAAGGGCTGTCACGTCGCACAAGGTTCTCCCTTTCTAGAAAACACTATATTCCAGATCTGAAACAACCTAATTCTAAGCACTTTAGAATTAGATTCCTTGGGATTTGGAACATTTTCGAAACATACTTCGGAGGCACTGGTGGCGTACTGATGAGTTGGGCTGTGATCCACAAGGTCAACGGTTCCAAACCACCTGCGGCTCCGTGAGAGAAAGAGAGGGCTTTCCACTGCCATCAAGAGTGACAGTCTCAGACACTCGTGGGGCAGTTCTACCCTGCCCTACAGGGCCTCTGTTGCACAGTAAGGATTCGATGGCAGTGAGCTTGGTTTTGGAGCATACAGTTGGAAACAGCTTATGAGTACCTTTCAGCAGTCAAGAGATCAAAGGACACATTGCATTGGGTAGATCTGCTGAAGAGGAGCTCTCTCTTGAAAGTGTCTAGAAGCAAGGATGTGACTTTGAGGACGAGGGCGTGCCTGACCCAAGCCAGGGTGTTGTCAGCCGCCTCATGTGCAAGTGAGAGTTGAGCATTAGAAAAGAGGAAGATGGTCAACAAGATGGATTGACACGGTGGCTGTCACAATGAGCTCAAACATAAGAATGGCTGTGAGGATGGCGCAGGACGAGGTGGTGCTACACGCTCTTGTACACCGGTCGCTACGAGTCAGAACAGACTTGATGGCACTTCACAACAAGAACTTTCTAAGTTGGGGGCAGCTTATCCACTCATTTTTGGGCCATTCTTCTCTGGGCCCCAGTTCCTTGATAGGAGCACAGTGGTAAAAGCTGGGGATTTCTATGTTCACTCCTGGGTGAAGCCCAGGGCTCTAATTCGCAACGCAGCCACAGCTATCAGCACAGGTTTATGGGCCGTGGATATTGGGTGATTACAATGTGCTCAGTGTGATGCCACCAAATTCAGGGGCTGCCACACACCAGAGAAATGCGCTCAACTAACCAAACACTTTATTATAAGGAGCCTGAACTCACACGGAATCGTGTAATGCAGTGAATGGGCATCAGGAGACAAGTTCTTCTATTTAGCGCCAATAAACAGATTTGTACCGCCTCTATCAAGATCCTGCAACGGCCTGTAATGATAACCTAGATGCGCCAATGGCTTTCTAACTAGCCTCCCTGCTAACTGCGGTCCACCTGTCATCTGCAAACTGCTTTGGGAGAACCCTTCTTAAAACTCAGATCTGATCATGACATGTCTCTACAGGGAGACTTTGATGACGTCGCATTGCTCGTGGGATCAAAGCTGTATTTCTTAATAGATACCCCAGGCTTTCGCTAACTAACC